TCCATCCTTTTGTACATTTTTTACCCAATTCTGTACCATAGGGTCATTCTTTTGTACCTATTTGAGACGGTCTAACAAAGTAGATTTCACTTGGATATTTTCACAAATCACCTTTTGTCATTCTATACGTGGATTCCATTTGTTTACTTCTTCTATCATGTGCCATTCCTTAATCATCAACTCCAATATTTGAACTTTACGATTTAAGGTAGCAACTTCTACATTAGCCTTTCTTGGATGATAGTTGATTGTACAATCATAGTCTTCTAAGAACTCCATCCACCGGCGCTGCCTTAGATTCAACTTCTTTTGGAAAAACAAGTACTTAAAACTCTTGTAGTCCGTATACACATCAAATGTTACTCCATACAAGTAGTATTCTACTTTTTCAAAGCAAAAATCACTGCCGCTAGTTCTAAGTCATGGGTCAAATAATTTTGCTCATGAGATTTCAACTTTCTAGAAACATAAACAATTACATTTTCATTTTGCATCAACACACATTCCAAACCTTCTTTTGATGCATCTATATAAACTGTGAATCCGTCCTTCCCATTAGGTAAGGTTAATACAGATGCTCTAGTCAATTGCCTTTTTAACTCTTGGAAGCTATTTTCAGACTTAGCATTCCAAATGAACTTATTATATTTCTTAATCAACTCAGTCATCGGCCCAGCAATTTTGGAGAAATTTTTGATGAACCGACAATAATACTCTGTTAAACCCAAGAACCTACGAATGTTAGTAGGATTTTTCAGTTGTTTCGACTTGATAATAGCTTCTACCTTAGCTGGATTCACCGTGATTCCGTCCTTAAAGATTATATGACCTAGAAAAGATATTTCCTCCAATCAAATGTCATATTTGCTGAACTTAGCGTACAATTGGTGCTCCTTCAGGGTTTGTAGCCCTACCCTTAAATGGTGCTCATGATCTTCTTGAATTTTTGAATAGACTAAATATCATGGATAAAAATCACCGCAAACTAATCCACGTAGGGTTTAAAAACAGAATGCATTAAGTCCATAAAAGTTGCAGGGGCATTAGTTAATCCAAAAGACATTACCACAAATTCAAAATGTCCATACTTAGAATTAAAAGTAGTTTTTGTTGGTATGTTTTCTTTCTTAATTCTCAACTGGTAATACCTTTATCTAAGATCCAGTTTAGAAAGCACCACAACTCCTTCTAGCTGATCAAATAATTCATCAATGTGAGGTAAATGGTATTTATTCTCAATGGTGATATTGTTCAAATGTCAGTAGTCAATGCACAATTTTAAACTTTTATCTTTCTTTTTAACAAATAATACCGGTGCTTCCCATGGAGAATCACTTTTTCTTATAAATCCTCGCTCTAACAGATCCTGTAGTTGCAACTTCAATTTTTCAATTCAATAGGAGCCATCCGATATGGAGTTTTAGATATAGGTTCTGTCCCAAGAACTAGATCAATGTTAAACTCTACTTCTCTTTCTTGTGGCGAGGATGCAAGGATGCAAGCTTATTAGGAAAGATGTCAAGAAATTCCTTCACTACTAGTACATCCTCCAATTTCAATTGATCTTTTGGAGTATTGATTAAAAATGTTAGGTACCCTCGTGCTCCTATACTTAATAACTTTCTAATCCGAATTTTCGAAATAAGAGCAGACGAAACTAGCCTACCCCTCAGATTAAATTTTAGGGTTGCTTCTCAAGGGATACGAATCTCCACTACTTTCATCTTACAATCTAATTGAGTATGGTATCGAGCAAATCAATCTATTCCCAAGATAACGTCATACTACTTAATGGTTAAATTCATCAAATCTGCCAATAGTTTTCGCTCTCCAACCCATCTCACAATTTTTATATATCAAGTTCGCAATCAAACATTGGTCCCCAATAGGTGTCCCGACCTTTGGATCATATGGCAACTTAACAGGTTTCACATCCAAACCACACATAAAATCAGGGTTTACAAAAGAATGAGTTGCCCTCGGATCGATTACAACCTTAACTGGGCGATGGTAAATAGGGATCGTACATTTTATCACTTCAGAAGGATTAGGGTCTTGTTGCTAATTTAGAGCAAGCTGGTACTTTAGGTTGACTTTCTCCTGCATTTGTCTGCCTAGAAACTGGTTTATTCGACCTTTGAATCCCACTTTCTGGACGAGTCCTTTCGGGGCAACTGGCCACCTGATGTTCAACACTTCTGCAGCGTAAACACTTCCCCGTATTTTTTCAACAGTTATCTATCTCATGCCCTGATTTCCCGCAATATCCACAAGTTCACGAGAAATTTGCACTTGATCTCCTTGTGAGGCAGCCCCTGGGTTCCCTTGTCCACTGTGTACTCCCTTTGATGGGGCTCCTTTTTGCGGCCCCGGTATCTTAATTTCGCTAACTTCTCTTCATATCTTTGGCGACAGTATAACTTTATTTACCTGTCTGGAGGTGCCACTCAGGGCACCTCTTTTTTTTGCCTGGAAGTCTTTCATTTGAAGTCTAACACTTTCAACCCTCAAAGTTTTCTCTAAACCATCAGTAAAGGTGTCAATTTGAGCTGCTGCTAATGTCTCTTGGATCTTCACTTTCAATCTCTGAACAAATCACCTTACCTTCTTTTTCTCAGTCATCACCAACTCAGTGCCAAATTTAGATAGTTTAGTAAATTGGGTCTCATATTCGGCTATGCTCATGGTGCCTTGTCGTAACTTAATAAAATCATCCTTTTGTTTCTCTTAAATCAAAAAGAGAAGGAATTTGTCATTGAATTTCCTCACAAAATTTGCCTAAATCCACTAGGTTTGGTCTCTTTTCCACTTAGCTCTCACTACTTTCCACCATGCTCGAATCGCTCCCTTGAGTTGAAAAACGGCAAAAGTGACTTGCCTGTTCTCCGTGTAGTTTAAAACGGCAAATATATCCACCATGCTTTCCAACCAACTTTCAGTTGTTTCAGGGTTAGGTTCTCCTACAAATTTGGGTTGGAAAAACTTTTAAAACCTTTCTAGGGCTCTATCCGCCCTCCTTCTAGTCCTCCAGGTTGGTTTACTAGCTCAGGACCCTGTATATTTGCCAAATGTTCCAAGATGTCTATCATATGATTGAAGGCCGTAGCCACCTGATCCCAAGCTTCAACCTAGGTTCCCAATTTTGGTTCACCGCAGATCCTTGGTCATTCCCAAGATCTTGGGGTTGTCTATGTCCTCAACCACGATCTCGACCACACCCTCTACCGTCCATGTCTTATCACAGATCTAAAGGTGTGGGACATAAATTAAATATACATATAAGTCATAAAATCAATTAAAAGCAAAGTAAACGTTCATATATCATAAATGATCATAATAATTACTACCGATTAGGATAAATTCATCAAATTATTTCAAAAAAAGGGAAACAAATAAGATCATAGCAAAATGTGCCAAATCGTAGGTGTATAAAACAACAAAAGAACGTCATCCCTTATACAAAAGGTTACAACCTCTAAAGTGCAAGTCTAAACTAGGGTATAACCACAACCCCTATCTCCCGAATGGAGCCGGATCTATCACCACTCCTAGAGCCCCCACTGCTTGGATCCCTCTCGGGGCCATTAGCATTAATCACTCTCTCGACCAAGGCCACACACTCTGCGAGAATACCCTCGGTACGATCTCGAACCTCTGCTACAACCTGAGTAGTCGAGCGTTCACTTCCTGTAACTGCTCATGAAAGGCATTGGTCCTCTCTTGCTCCATTAAAATATTTTCCTCTAACTCTCGGATTCTAACAGTTTGCCCATTCTTGATGGCCGTCAACCTCTGGTGGTCAATTTGAGCCCTACGGTTGGCACTAGCCAACTTTTCCCTCTCGTTTGCAACCGTTAAGATCACTCGGTCTGGGTAGGAGTAAGACCTCCAACAATCACAGGTCCTAATGCTTTGCTCAGGCGCCCATCGACGAACAGGGCCTTCCGGTCTCTCTTGGTACCTAAGGACACGCAGACGTCTAGCAGGAACTCCATTTCTATTGCTCTCGCCGTCCATGACCTACATGATATCCAAGGGAAGGGAATTAGACTTACTTATCAATTTTTAAACTATAATACTTAGAAAATCAACACTTATAGAATTCATTCACTTAATATACTATTCTGTCACTCTTAATCTTTCATATCTATTAACCCATATATAATCCTAGAATATTTCGAACCTGACTTGATACCAACTGTGATGATTACACTTTTTCCTAAGGAGAATCAGAGGGGTTGGCGAGTCTCCTGCTCAACTCTCGCCAGAACTCACTAATATCTCAAGACAAGAAGTACGAGTAAATCATTCAATAACACCAATAAATACTAACTATTACTAGTTGAATCACGCATCTCCAAAATATTTTAATACATAATTCAAGGTTCAGCTTACAGCCCAAAAGTACTAAATACAAAATATACCAAGTGCTGGCATACTCATGACTCTCAGGGTGCTAACACTTTTTTCCCTGTTCAAGAAAACAAGCATACAATGAGCTTTCGCCCAATGAGGTTTTAAGAAAATCATACAGTACAATCAACAAGAACTTTTAATTCAATACTAATTCAAGACAGAATAAGACAAATACTTAAAGCGTAAGTTAAGAAGTAACAATCCAATTCAATGATATAAAGGCTTTAAAAACCAGATCCACGTAGCTCGAACATCTCGTAAGTCAAACCAATAACCGTAGAACACCACTTTACTCCAATTCCCGTTCACCGTTTCAGCCCCTATATCAGACCTGCACACCGCAATAAACAATGGTAGTAATACTCAAGCATACCAAATAGTCGAGTAGATAACACTCCACTCAACAAAACAGTAGACTCAGGATTCGTTATCTAATCGACCAGACTATCGCTAGTTCAACTCGAATAACTAGCCAACAGGGTTTTGGAATTCCAAACATACAGTTGTGTTGGTGGGATAACGGCCCAACCAACCAATCAAAATAATCATACAATAACAGTTAACAATAAAGAATTGGAGGGACAATGGCTCAAACAACTAACAGGACAAGTACAAGTAAGAAAGGGTTTGAGCATGATAAAGTACATGCTCACCCAAGTTAAATATCAAACAGTTCGATAACAGAAAATTTCACAGGGCACACATGTGTCAAGCAAGTATGAAGTGCAACATGCATTTAGAATGCTCACCGCGTTGAGAAAAGTTAACTTTCCTCAGTGAAAGAGTCCGCGGGTTCACTTTCAAAACCTGTGATCAAATACATAGGGTAAGTGAAATAAAAAGTTCACCATTTAAAACATTTGAATAAAGTAGTCGAACCCCAAAGTGCTAGCTTTTAGACAAAAATATCACTTATTCTTGCTCCAATCATAAGGGAGAACTTTTGATATTGAAGTCAAAATAAAAATTTAAATGGGAAAAAATAAGATTTCAAATGAGGCAAGGATATAGTAAGATGATATAATAACGTTCAACAAGCGACTCGAGAAGAAAAGCCACTCGTTCTTTAAAACACCCTAATTTTAAGTAAAAATCCACGTATAAGTAGTGATCTAGGGGTTAACAAGGTATAGTAATCTAAAAGCTATAAATTCACCATTCAAGTACCAAGTTTTAGTTAGAATTTTTCTTCACAAGTCCTACCATCCTATACTAAACCTTTAGCACCATCGAATAAGGATTTCATGGCATGCGCTATTCGAATAATGACTAAGGGCTAGTAGGAAAATTCAGTTTCTAACATATCTCAAGTTTTGTAAGTTCAAAATTTATAAATTTTATACCATCGAAAAATAGACTAAAAAAACTACAATTTTCCAAAAGACATATTTGTGAGATTCTGTCCACAATTCAGGCTAAGTTCAGTCTCAAGTTGCTGCTTCATCAGGTAAAAAAACTGAACAAGTGTGAAAATTCAGTCAATTTTGAAAAATTATAGGCATTCATAGGAATTGATAAAAACTCTGAAATTTTCACGGTAGAGTATTTTGAACCTAGGGGGTGTTTGGAACCCAAGTTTTTTGAGCAAGTTTGTTTGCTACTAGTTTTTATACAACTTTTGCTACAGGAACCCAAAAAACTTCCAAAAAACTCACGATCACCTTGTTAAACTTTTAGCAAAACGACGTCGTTTTGCCGTATCTTGTTTTGAAACTCCAAAACACTTTGCCAGACAGAAGCGGTGCCCTGTTCGTCATTTTTGAGCTCACAGAAGCGGTGCCCCAGACAGCGCCGGGAAGGGGGATTTTTCCACGCACCAGATTGCAGGAAGGGGGAGGCGAGGGGAAGGCTGAAAATTGCAAAAAAAAAAAAAAAATTTGACTGGCTTGTGGAGGAGGTGCGCCTTGACTACCGGGCGAGGGAAGAAGGAGGGGGAAGGGCAAGGGGGAGGAGAAGGGGAAAGGAAGGAGAGGGGTGGCGGGAGGTGGCATTGGAGGAGATGCTGGTGAAGGAGCCGATGGTGGTGTTGGAGTTGGAGGAGGTGCAGGTAGTAGAGGTGGTGCTGGTGGTGGCGTTGGAGGAGGTGCTGGTGGAGGAGTAGGTGGTGGTGCAGGAGGTGGGGCTGGTGGTGGAGTTGGAGGTGGAGCAGGCGGGAGAGTAGGAGGAGGGGCTGGTGGAGACATTGGTGGTGCTGCCGGAGGTGGAGCAGGTGGAGGCGTGGGAGGAGGGGCTGGAGGTGGGGCCGGTGGCGGAGTAGGGGGTGGAGCAGGCTGCTGGGCTGATGGGAGGCTGCGTTGCTACATTGTTGCTACGTCTGCGTTGCTGTTGGGATGAAGAAGAAGAAGATAGGAAAGAAAAGAAAAAGGAAAGAAAGAAAAAGAAAAAGAAAGGAAAAAAAAAGAAAAGGAAAAAAAAATTTCCACCTTACAAAAACTTCTACAAAAAAGTTTTTCACCTTACAAAAATTTCTACAAAATTTTTTCAAAACTTCTACAGTGCACTACAGTAAAGTTTTAGACAAACTCACAAAAAACTCAGGTTCCAAACAGACCCCTAGTTTCAAATGCAATAAGCAAAACTCAATTTGAATTTTTTTTATACCAAGATACGATAGATTTCTCAAGATTACTCAGAGTCTCCTGTGAGAAAAATTTTCAGCAATACTTGACTCAGTCTTCTCACTTAAACTCATGATTTTTGGTTCAAACTCAACTCACAATCAAAGTTTAATGTCTAACAAGGTTCGTAGAGCAAGATTCTTCCAAAATTTCTTGAAAAATAAGGGCTAACAGCACTCAAAAGTTTCAGCCAGCAAGAAACTTTGAAAACAGAATTTTTCCACCAAAACTTGCAACAAAATCCAAGTAAGATTCAAGCTTTCCAAGAAATATACACACAAGCCATAACATCAAGATTTAAAGCACCAAAATCTACCATAAACATTCATCATAAAAGCACAAGAATGAATCTCAAGTCATCTACCTAGCTTGCCATTAAAACACAAGGAATTTTCTTCAAGTCATCTACCTAAATCAAGGTTTTAAAAAAACCCATCAACAACCCATCAAAGATTCAATCTCTCTAGCTACAAATCTACTAGAAACTTGAAGGAAAAAGAGAGTTTCAAACCAATACCTCTCCTAATAATTTCAACCAAGCAACAAGTCCAAGTTTCCTCCAAGAGTTGCCTCCAAGCAAGACTTCCTTCCAAGTTCAAGCAAAGTTCCAAGAATCAACCAAAGTTAGGGAAGATTGAAGCAAGAAATGGACGAAGAAAGTTGAACTTTTCTTCTTGTTTTTGGAAGGAGAAGCTCGGCCAAGAGGAGTGGAAAAGGAAGAGAATACGTAATGGGAAAATTGAGAGTTTGTTGGGTTGTACAAGCAACCAAAGTCAACTAGGAATAGTGAGAGAATAGGGTTTAGCTCTCAAATCTTGTCAATCTCCTTCAAGATTCAAATCCTACTACACTTTCATGGTTATGATCATGTTTTGCTAGTTGGTTGTACTAGTACATCTCAATAAAATTTAACGTAGTTACGCTAAAACGTGCGGGTAAAAGTTTTTTTTTATTATTCCAACTAGTGATTAAATTATTAAGCAATTACTAACAGAAAAAAATGATTTAAAACGAATAGGTTAAGAAAAGATAGGAAACTAAAATGTGAATAAATAGTTAAAGAAATAATTAAATGATTGAAGCACTTGAATAAATAAACATATATATATATATATTTATAGATATATAAAATTTTTGAGTTCTCACAATGATTGGTCTAGATGTGGGTTTTCTTTCCTTTTTCCCCCCAATACATCTAAGTTTAATCAGAAATGGGCAAAACTTTATATTCTCAATGTCCTGAAGCATTTTTTTCCCATTTCCATTCTGTTATAATTGTGACTAAACTCAACTAAAGCCAAACTGTGTATGAACAATGTTGACTAGTTAAAAACATGCAGCTACCTATGTAATGCAATATAGTTCCCACTGATTCTCCTTTAAACTATAGCTTAGTTTTTCAAACAAACTAGAAAATGAACATAAATATAAAAATTTCTTCAAGATGGGGTAGTTCAATAGACATGATATTCAACGAATATGAAGAATTGACAATTGAATTAAAAAAATGAATTCATATTATCAATTGAAACAATCCTACTATTGGTCATTTCCTTAAAGTAGAAAAATATACATACTTCACTCACTACTCGCTTATTAACTATAATGAATCATAGAGATATGTATAGCGGAAAATGTTAAAATTTTGATTCTTTTACTAGATCAATTTTTAATTAAATTCATATGATATAAAGTTGTTCAAGAAGATTACCTCAATCCATAAAACTGTTCTTAAACTGGTAGAGATCTGATGTAAAGAAGCAAAGTGATCCATGTAGCCGCACAAATATCTGGTCTCTAACGTAATCCACACGAACCTTCTTGACTAGAACCTCATAGGTTAAATTAACTTAAGTTAGATTAGTGCTAACTATTACTAAGATACCTCCTACAAATTGGTTGAGAAAAATCCTAATTTTTCATCATAAAAACATGTTCCAATGAGAGAAATAAGAAATATGACTTTTCCCTTATTTTCTTAGATGAATTTTGGATATTTTTCTCTCAAGATTTTTCTCAAAAATCTCACAAGAATTTGTGTATCAATTAGTCTTGCTAGCAAAAAGCTTAGTGAGTATTTATAGACAAATAAGTATTTCCCTATCATTATGGAAATCTAAAACCATTTTTCAATAGGATTCACCTTCCTTATTCTAATACAAACCTTGTATTTGGAAGATTTAAACTTATTTGCATTATAAGTTCTTTAAGTTTAATTTGTCTCACAAATTAAACTATGAGTTATAAAACTTATCTTTCAAGTCTCCATTTGAAATTCATTTAATCCAACTAAAGAAGTTCTTAATGTGTGTGACCCATTAGATTCTCATATATGTTGGCAATAAGTATGAGTTACAATTCTTGATAAAGAAGAATTAAGTAAATTAAAACTCTTTTCAATTTATCATTTATTCAACTAATAAATAAACTCATACTTATAGATCAAGATTGGCATCTAACAATACATTATGACCACCCAAGTAATGAGAAAAGTCAAGCGAATGACTTTACCTTTCAATAAACCTTTACCGTGTAATTAATAACCTTTTACCACCCTTATGTTACATTAATTTTGGAATAAGTTATGCCTATTCCATTATCTGATTAATGTTCATTTCTTGTACCAAAATATAACTCGAATGAAGAAGTATTTAAAAACACTTTCTAAGACTCTTTCATTTAGTACTAAGAATTCCGAATTATATTACTCTTTCAATAAGAGGTGGTAAATCCTTATAGATTATTCACTATCTTTCTATACTTCAGGTATATACCCATAAGCTAATGATGTGAGGATTCCCTAATACGAGAGCAATCATATAGTAAATAAAGTATAACCGTCCGTACTCAAGATATTATGATAACTTAAATTTAAGGATCACTTACAGACACGTCACTTAGAGATTAATCTTTTGACACTTAAAGGATATTTCTATGTCCATCAATCTAGTGAACTTCATCATTCTATCAAGCATCCATGCATTAACATAGGTGTCTCACACACCATAATAGATGAATTCTACTACTTCTTAAATAAAAGCGGTATAGTATATCTTAGTCTAATCATATTAACAATGCCCTGTCTTATTAATACTTTGACTAGAAATATTTAAGAATAAATCTTGTTTATGATCGAATGAACCTCACTATTATAACTCACGATTTCATCGATTAAATTTACTCTAAGAGTTTTATCATACTTATATAAATATAAACTATCATTATGATAAAGATATAATTTATTATAACATAAATAGTTCAAGTGCATATTATACAATAGAAGTTGATTGACTTTAGGGCACACACACTTTCAATTTCCCACTTATACTAAAGCCAATCACTCATAAGTCAAGGACCAAATGAGCCTACATGACCATTATATTTCCTTTAAGATAAGTTTTAGTAAAGGGATCAACCATGCATCATCCGCGGGTACTCTTTCTATCTTCACTTTTATTCCTATTAATGATTTTACCAAATCATATGGCAGCACCTTAACAAGTTATAGATTTGTGATGAGACCTTAGTTCATTTATTAAGGCAAATTTTCATTATGGTCACAATATAGGATAAAGGAGTTAAAATGGAGAGAACCAATCCAAATTCCCATTTGAATTTACAGATCCAAATGCTTCCTTTTGCCACTTCTCAAGTAGCAATTGGTTATGATTTAATTATAGAAATTTTAGTTGTTTTTTTGCTTGAAACCCTTTCAACACATAACATTAATATTATAAGTAAATGAATAATTACTTGCAAATCATTTTTGTAAGATTATTTACAAGAATATTTTCATACTTCCCATTTTAGTCCTTCATGGATAGAAGGAGACAATAAGTCTAGTACATTGAAAGGATTATTCTATGTAATATAGATAAAATCCCTTTTTAGATCACTTCATGCTAAACGACTCTAACATCTCATCTATGTATTATGAAAGGCCAAGCAATCATGATCTATCCCTATAAATCTTTACTTCTAAAAAGAAGATTACTTCTCCTTAACACTATGGAGAAAATCTTGAATAGTTATACCTATAATTTTGGAGCACAAGTATACCTTTTTCAAGTATAATATATCAATCACATATATAACAGGGAAACTATAATAGCTCCCATTAACTCACATATTAACACAAGGCTCATCCCCACTTTTGATAAAACCAAACTCTTTGATTATCTCATCAAAACGGATGATATAACTCTTAGAGACTTGTTTTATTGGTATATAAATGGAGAAACCTTTGAATTATGTCACATACACAACCATTTACCGTTTCCATTTAAGGAAAGTGGTTTTAACATTAGTTTGGCATGCCATAACTCATAACTAAAGCAAGTAAATCTAAATGAATTTAAACTTATTAACTAGAGAGAAGATTTTTCAAAAATAATTATTTATCTTTAATGGTAACCTTTCTATTAACCAAACTTTATAGGCAACCCTTTACATTCCATATTCATCTTTATAGCAAAGACTCCCTTGCACCTAATAGACTTTTTATACCTTTAGGTGGATTGACTAAGGTTAATATCTTTTGTCAAATATGTAATCTATTTTAGATTTATGATTTTTTTATCCATCTCTATAAGTTATAAAACTATTCATAAGTCATTTAGAACTTCATGACCAAACATCATGATTCTCCATAAGAAATCTATATTTTTAAAGGACAAAAAGTCTCAGTGGCCCTCAAACTATTAGCCGGCTGAACTT